GGTCTTTAAAAACCAATTGACATCAGACATGAGCATTCAAAAACACTTTTTAGTTCCTCACACTTTGTTGAATATGTTTTTGTAAATTGGCTTTCCCGGTGAATAAATAAATTTAAAAAAAATCAGTGTTGGCAATAATGAAACGCCCGAAACATGTACAACCATTTTACGTGAATATGGTCAATTACACGGGGGACGGTAGCCGGTCGGGTTGACGTGGGTGATTTGCTTCACTCACTCAACCGACCGCTGTGTGAACCGGTGGTTCAAGCCGCGAGGCCGGACCATCGATTTTCACTTCCTATCGTCCAACCCGTGTTAGGAATCACACGTTAAAAGGTAAGACCTCGTTAGTCCTTAGCTCGCACAAATTTCGACTTTTGAAAGTTGTCGATCGTAGGGGAGCGACAGCTGGTTAACGGAAAAACACATTTTGAAACGGATTTTCAAACAGATTCTTAATATAACTTGTCAAATATCAGTGTAACCAATTACTTATTGATCGTCTGCAACTGACTGAAACCTGCACAGCCCTTTTAACTTGAATACGGTCAACTAGCTCTCTAGATAAATAGTTTCAAGCGTATGTGCCGATAATCTACTAGATAGAACATACACGAGTGAGTTGAACACATTCAAAGTATATTAAATCATAGCCTGATTGCGTTATTTAGCAATTCATGAATTGCGGTTCATATTTTTTTATGTATACTGAATTTATGGAAAAAATTTGCATTTCAGATTATTCCAGGTTCACCGGTGTTTCAGTATGTGTGTGAAGTTGGACTAAAAAAATCGGAAAATTGAAATTCAGCATAGTCAATGATTGTTCATTAAATAATCACGTTAGGACATGGAAAAAAATCCATGAATCATAAAATTCAATTTCAAAAGATTCGTTTGTCCACTAAAACATTAATGATACATCTTTTGTTTATGATTTTTAATTTTAAAAATTTCCATTTGATTTTAGATTGTTTGAACGTGCTTATTCACCAACTGTACCGAACCAGAAAACTGTACACACCTCAGCAACTTTTGATGCTTTATAAAGCTCAGATCAGACTTTCTTTGGAGTATTGTTCTCATGTATGGAGCTCCGCCCCTAAACATACCCTGAAGCTGTTGGATTCCATCCAGAAACTAGCCATTCGCCTGATTGGAGACGCGGACATCACGTGCAACCTTGATACCCTGGAACATCGAAGGAAAGTTGGAGATTTGTCTCTCTTCTATAGATACTTTCAGGGAAGGGGTTCGAGTCACTTGGCACATATAAGTCCACCAAGAACGGTACATATCAGAAATACGCGACGGACTGCGGATGGTCATCGTTTTGAGGTTCAACTCAGTACACCTCGAACTTCACTGTTCAAGAACTCATTCACTTGGAAAACTGCGTTTATATGGCATAAACTTCCTGAGAACGTTTTTCCAAATGGATTTAATCTCCAGCGATTCAAATCCAACGTGAATCGCTACTTTCGCACAGGCACCGCTCTTAGAGCGCCTTAAGGATTTTCTTGTAGAGCTTGTGTTTTGTTCATAAAAAAACAATCAATTTTTTTATGAACAATGCAATGTGTGACGTTGGTACAATGAAGTCCGTCCTTGTCAACTGTCTAGAAATAAAACTGTGAATTAATTGTTGGATAAAAGCAGCTGAAACGATCCAGAATCAGATGGCAATTCTCAATACTGTGAACAATTTCAATAAAAAACCATATGTACTTGATGGACAAACGGCGAAGCACTTTCCCTTAGCTTTAGTGAAAAACTCGGGCTCACGTGAAGTAAGTCCTTTTTTCACATATAATTCTATCATATATGGAGAGATGGACAAAGAACATTTTTCCCAGGGACTGGAGTGGCTATCTGATGGGTAATTCTTTGACCATGTCGAATTTCAATTTGCCGAGTTTTTCGGGTCAACTTCACATAATGCTAGGTTACGAAAGATACTAAAAAAAGACATCTGTAAAACGGCCGTTGAAAAACAATGAGAAATTGCCGCTAATATTACATCATCAAAATAAAAATCTTTTCTCTTTCGTTGGTTGTTTTTTGTGTAAAGAAGCTGAGAGAGAATACTGTTTGTAATTCAATATATTATCAACATTCTTAGTGAACATGGGAATTTCAAAATGAAAAACTTTTCATTTCTTTGTGTTGTGGCCCAACACTTTCAAAATGTTCAAGATTTCATCCATTTTACAGTGATATCAAAACCGAAATTAATCCCTTAATTGAAATGGGTTTTAAATAGGGGTTTTCAATTACGGTTGGGCATTATAAATGATAATCAAATGTCGAAACTAATGTGAGCTGGAGATTAACGAGGTCCTACATTTCAACAAGTGATATATCTCTCTGTTTAAAATCTGTTTTTCCGTTAACCAGCTGTCGCACCCCTACGAACGACAACCCTCAGAAGTCGAAACTTGTGCGAGCTAAGGATTAACGAGGTCTTACCTTTTAACGTGTGATTCCTAACATATAGTACGGTTATTAAAAATTTTCTTCTGCAATACAAATCAGGAAATTAATTATTCATTTTTTTTTTCAAAAGATGGTAAGTTTGCTTGATTCACATGTTTTTCCTGGTTGAAATTTCAATAAACATTCAGAATTTTCAAGGTCGTGGGCGGGGTGAAAAAATAACTCAAGAAAACGTCTTTACTCACCACATTAAAAAAGATATATTGCTCCCTGTGGTTGATTTAGGAAGCTCGGAAATTTTCCGGAAGAGGATGATATATAAAATGAAGACATTTTCAAGACTGTATTTTAAAATTATGGCTTTGTACACCTTCCAAAAGGGGAATATATGTTATTCCTATTTGATACAAAGTTTTGGCAAGAAAACAGGGCTGACAAACCCATTTAAAATTTGAGACAAGGACAAATGGGCTTCAACTGTGAGAACAACTTCATGAAATGAAGGATCAAAAAAGAGGTGCAATTTATATATATAACTTAGGGCATAAAGTGAATCTAATCAATTGATAAAACTAAAGAAATGAACACTCTAATGAACAGAATGACATTAAAAAGACAAGTGTATAAAATTCAATTTCAATTTTGCATTTTTCTTGTTTTTCCCTGCCATGGTAAGTCAAAAAGAATTTTATTATGAATACAACTGTTCAAAAAAAATTAATGATTCAATATTGTTTCCTTAGTGTACCTATATCGTGCTTTTGGACAACTTTAGATTCATTTTTTTAAATGTAATAAAATTTCAACAGGGTTCACTGAAATTCACTGATCAGTCACTTCATCCTCTATATAATTGGGACACTGCAGTTCTCAAGGAGTATGACCCTGAATACCCTATATTAACCGCTTATATTATGTCACTAGAGAAATCCTTCTACAAAATACACTCAACATAAACAATGATGAAAAGCGGCTGTCATGTCCTTTAAATTATACAACAATCACATAAACTACGTGACAGAAAAACATGAAAGGAATACCAAATGACATTTAAAAGGCACACTTTGTTAGAAGCTATCAATTTTGCATGAAGGGGTGAATAACTGTGAAAAAATGACAAAATACCTCTCATCTTGAAGTCTTTTGAGTTCTACCATTTCGAGCTCAAATCGTAGGTTGCTGTTTTCGCACAGCAAGAGATCTCGTTCGGTGGCCACTCCATCTAATTCGCGTTTCAGTCGAATAATTTGATCCCGTTGTTCCCGAATTATGGCATCTCTTTGTGCCAGGAGAGAATTAATATCGATATCTGATCCGGCCATTGCAGGCCTCCCACTGTTGTTATTGTCACAGACAAAATAATGTAGTAAATATTAAGGAACACACCATGTCTTTGATCGCACAAACATGTTATACATCGCACCTCATTATTGCACTCAAGGTGTTTGTCTCCGAACAATTAACGAATTTATTGAATGTTTTTTATCTGACATACTAGTAGACGTAAAACTAACAACCCATTTCATTCAGACCATCGCGATTGCAACGCACGTGGCGACGTCTGGTGGTTGACACCTGAAGTTTATATTATTATGATTCAGGTTCAATTGATTTTTTGAAGTGAGGAGTTAAATAAAAGAGAGTAGAACACGCCTGTCACCGAAAACAGTGATAATCAAATTGTAACAATCTCATTTCAAAGTGCCAGTTACTTTTACTGTATATAATATTGGACACACATTAAACATTTTGAAAACATTTATATGAATTTGACCTGCGTTGGCCTTAACAGTTGAGGGTTCAAATAAAAGATGTCGCTACAATGTACATTGACATTAAATTAATCGTGTTCGGTTATCCTCTATCATTTTATTAAACAATTGATAGCGACCCAAATTGTATAAAAAACCAGAAATTGAACCCGTCAGCTGTTAAAAAATAACTGCCAGAGCATGACATTTTCTGTTCAAGGTTGTGGAAAAATCAGAGCACCTAGGACGTATTTAAAAAACATAGATCTACACAAAAACAAATCTTTCGAAATAAAATAACAGGTTTTTTGTCAAAGAATAACTTCCCGCGAGTTATCGATACTGACGGTATAGATGACGGTACCGTAAACGTAATAGCAGACACGTTTAAACCAAAGAGAAATTATTTATTTATATTTATGGTTTTTCCTGTTGGAAATTTGTTAATTGGTTTTCCACTGTTTTCTTTTAAGCAACAGTGTTACAATTTTCGGCAATAATATTGTTTTTATATTGGTTTTGGATCAGCTTTTAAAAACCCGTCAAATCTATCAGAATAGTACTGGTTTCCAGAATCTGAAATTGTTGCATAATATTTTGGTTCTATTTACTGCATTTTCAGTTTCTTGATATTTTTAGTATTCAGCGCCACATCAGCTTCTTGGTTTTTTGTAATTTCTCATTTTAACAANAAATTCAGTTATTCGACCTCACAAACTGGTTTCTATCAGTCACATAGAATTTGAATCAAATATAGCCTTTAATATAACTTGGTACATGTGCTATTATTTTTTATCACAGTAAATAATTAAAGCCCCCAATGTAATGAATTTTCATATTTCAGATGTGAAGGAGTATGTTATCAAAGCACAAATTCTTGCTGGAGGCAGAGGGAAAGGACATTTTGACAATGGGTTCAAAGGAGGAGTGCACATTACAAACAAGTATGAAAATAGTATATAAATGAATATGAATAGCTCTTATTGTATTTTGAATAAGTTGAGGTTTCATTTATTACAGTCGAAATGATATTGATAAAATTGTACAAAAAATGCTGGGACACAAATTAATAACAAAGCAAACCCCAAAAGAAGGGATTCTTGTCAATAAAATTATGATAGCTGAAAGTGTGAATATTGTCAGAGAGACCTATGTCTGCATACTAATGGATCGACAAAGAAATGGTCCAGTTATCATAGCTTCACCAGCAGGCGGTGTTGATATTGAAGCCGTTGCAGAAAAAACACCACATCTGTTAAAAACTGTTCCTATTGATATATTCGAAGGTGTCACAGACAAGATTGCTGATGAATTGGCAGATTTTCTTGAATTTAGGGGTGAGTTGCAATTTGAAAGGGGACTTACACAATGTATCAGACACCTACCAAGAGTTTCAAATGTTAACTATCAGTGAAACAGATGTTTTACAGAGAATAAAACAAATAAAACTGTTTTCTTTTAAGCAACAGTGTTACAATTTTCGGCAATAATATTGTTTTTATATTGGTTTTGGATCAGCTTTTAAAAACCCGTCAAATCTATCAGAATAGTACTGGTTTCCAGAATCTGAAATTGTTGCATAATATTTTGGTTCTATTTACTGCATTTTCAGTTTCTTGATATTTTTAGTATTCAGCGCCACATCAGCTTCTTGGTTTTTTGTAATTTCTCATTTTAACAATGATATTTCTGCTAAATGAGTTGAAATACAAATCATTACAGTAATATATTATAGAACCAACCAAAGGCTTTGTAAACAATCTGAATCAGGAGCAGTGACATGAGAAGTTGAACTTTGAAATGAGATAAGTGTAAACAGATTCCATTTTTATTAACTTAATTTCAGAGCAGTCATGTCGTCCTTGTGGAACACTTTTAAGCAAATAACTAAACAACATCAAATCATTAAAGTAAGTTGATATATGTAATTATGAACTAGAGTTTTAAAACACTACATTTCAGGTTCCTTTGCGATACTTGAATCTTCTGGAGTATCAAAGTAAAAATTTACTAAGAAAAAATGGTGTAGCTAAGCCCTTNTGATATATTCGAAGGTGTCACAGACAAGATTGCTGATGAATTGGCAGATTTTCTTGAATTTAGGGGTGAGTTGCAATTTGAAAGGGGACTTACACAATGTATCAGACACCTACCAAGAGTTTCAAATGTTAACTATCAGTGAAACAGATGTTTTACAGAGAATAAAACAAATAAATAAAATGTGATTAACATGTTATTATTTTGCAAAATGTGCTGAGAAGAAAGAAATATTCCAGGGAATAAACATAAACAGGCAAAGAAAAGGAAACCAAACTTTACAGAGTTTCTCAGTGTTGAAATATTTTCCTAATCAGTAAATTTATGTTTAATTCTTTTAGCTTTTTTTTTCTTCATTAGATTTGGGTAACTTATTGAGAAGCTCATAGTCATATCAAGGAAATGTAAAATCCTTAAAAGGTCTTGAATGTATGGAATAAGTACAAAATTGTTAAGCTGTTATTATTTATATCATTTAAGACTATATTTGATTTCAAACATTGAAATGTTTCTTAACTCAGATGATATATAAAATCAGACATTTTTATTCAAAGAGAATCATTAAACATGTTTGTCTCTGAGAATAAATGAGTTCATTACTAGAAACATAATTATCACATTATACTTTGATTTTTGGCCTCAAATATAAGGTAAAAGTAGAGAAAGTCACTTTTACTATATGCCAATATTTTTGGTAACATGTTACAGATAAGTTATAAATTGTAAAGCTTAATTTTTTGTTGAGTGTCTCACAAGTTCACCTATTCAGAAACCATATCGTCAATCGAATAAATTTATGTCGCTAATGTTAAATGTTTATCATTAGCAAGTGCTTCAAAAAAACCATATTAGAAATTGAACACAGTTATCACTTCATAGTTTTCTTCATCTCATTTTTTTATATAATCAATTAAAATTTGAATTGTTGAAGGAATATTTCTTTGAGTCAGAGGTAGTAACAAAAAATCCAAATATAAAATATTCTTGAGTTTAATTCAAAAAATTCATAATATAGTTCAAGTGATAGAAGAGTAATAGTACTCATTTTCAAAGCTCATGCATAGTTACACCAAAATCAGTCACTTGATTAATTTGAAATAAACAGTTTTATATTGGTGTTTAACTGGCATGTTGAATGATATCTTTTATTCATAATTTCAGGTGATCTTAGAGGCAAAGCAAGCACAGAAATTAAAAAACTGTGGGGACTGTTTGTTGCTGTTGATGCTACACAGTTAGAAATAAATCCTTTGGTTGAAACTGATACTAATCAGGTTATATCTGTGGACGCTAAGTTGAATTTTGATGACAATGCTAAGTTCAGACAGAAAGATGTATTTAGCATGGAAGACGTTACTGAAAGTGACCCAAGGGAGGTTGAGGCTTCCAAATACAACCTGAACTATATAGGAATGAATGGAAATATAGGGTGAGTACAAATCCTTGATGAAATCGCTATCATTAATGAAATTATTGACCAAAAATGAACTATTGCAGATGTTTAGTTAATGGAGCAGGCTTAGCCATGGCGACAATGGATATTATAAAACTTCACGGTGGAGATCCTGCTAATTTCTTAGACGTGGGAGGTGGCGTCAAAGAAGACCAAGTCCGAGCAGCTTTCAGAATCATAACTTCTGACACGAAAGTCAAATCTGTTTTGGTGAATGTATTTGGAGGTATTGTGAACTGTGCAACAATAGCAAATGGAATTGTGGGAGCTTTAAAAACGATGACGCTGAAGATTCCACTCATCGTGAGATTGGAGGGAACCAATGCTATTGAAGCTAGAAAAATTATAAAGGAATCCGGACTCAATATTATCACTGCTGAAAATTTGGAGGAAGCTGCACAAAAAGCTGTAGTTAGCACATAGTTCAGTCATAATAACTTATGACTTATATTTTTCACAAGTTTTTTCATTTTGAAACATTGGTGTTGATAGATAAATCTTCAAAATCTGTCTGTCTGAATATGTTTTTTCGTTAATCAGCTGTCGCACCCCTACGAACGACAACCCCAACACGTTACCTTTTAACGTATGCAAGTGAAAATTGATCGTTCAGCCTGGGGCTTGAAACAGCAACCAAAACGGCGATCGATTTGAGTGAGTGAACAAAGCACCCACGTCGAACCGACCGGCTACCGTCCATCCAAATATATTCATTAAATGAAAAATAAACATATTTTATATATTCTTTGTAAAAACAAACTAGGTCACAATGTTGTTAACAAACCAGTGTCCCTGTACAAACGACAAATCTAAGAAATAATCTAGAGACTGTGCCAATAGATTAATGAGGCACTGAACACCTATCATATCAAAGTAGATAGAGATCCTGTATTCAAGAGCAGTTGTGTGACCAATTTATTTATGAATCTTTTGAATGGCTTGTATGAAATAGAAATGTTTTTGAAAAATGTGTGTGAAAATGTAATTTGTAAAATTATTCAATTATGAGTTTATGACGTATATGATCAAGAAGAATTACCAAAACTGCAATACTCTACTCGACGTGCGTTTTACCAGCAAAATTGGCTTATTCATGAATTGTAGTTCTGGTGCTCGGTGTTTAGAATTTATTTTCTGCTAGAGGTTGCAGTTTCACCTTTATCACTAGAGACTCAAGATGACATTAACTTTTCTTGGTATTCACTGTTCTGGAATAAAAATTTTTGAAAAAATTCAACTTCTTAAAAGCCCAAAGTATCTGTTTAATAAGCGAGAGTAGACACATGAATTCCAAAAATGTGTAGGATCGAACTTCGGATTATCGACATTACTTAACACACTTGGCTGTTATGTGTACGTTGTGTGGGTTTCATAGACAACATGTGTTGTCTTTGAAACCCACATATTGTCAGCAGGTACTGAAATAAACAGTTTTATATTGGTGTTTAACTGGCATGTTGAATGATATCTTTTATTCATAATTAGTGGATCTCAGGGCTTGGAAAAGTTTAGTAAGTATTTATCTATACAGTACTGCTGAGGTTTTTAAAACGATTCTCATTCTGGAATGACAATTCCCGTCATGCTTATGTTGTTTGATTTATTCCGTTTCCATTTCATTTAACGGAATTTTTGAAAAGAAGTAGTGGGAGAAAGCTATATTGAAGAATATTTGTCAAAATGCTTGTCAAATTTTTCATACTGTTGATGTTTATTCGTGGTATATCTTTGGTGTATGGAATTCTGTTTTCTACCAATTCTGGTTGAAGATCAAATAATTCATCCCTAATATTAACTTGAAAACAATCCACCATTATGATATCATAAGCAAATTAAGAAAAAAAGGATTTGAAATTTTTTATTTCTGTTTTTTGTTAAACAGAGCTTATTGAATGATTGCTGAAATAACCCCGTATTTCATTTGCTTTCAATAAAAAGAGCTAGGAAATTATACAGATACTTCCTCTATAGATGTCAAAGAAGTTTCAAAATATGAAATATGTGGTTGTTGTTGGTTGATTTCTGAAACATTCGATGTAGTAGAAAGTGTTCTGATAATAGTCTGTTGATATTTCGCCATTATCCATATTTTTCTTCAAGACAGGTAGCCAAGTATGATCCATTTCTAAGGAGATGATGTTCTCTCCACGTACAAGAATATAAGCTGATTCTTTAAGTTTTACGTCTTTTAGAGTGGGGTTCATTGGCAATCAATTTCATTTTGTTCCATTCAACTCGATGTTCACTGTCTGATTTCAAAATGTTTTCTGACAATTTTGATCATGTTAATTGTCTATTTCTGATTTAGTTTGTGATGCTGTTTGTAGAGAGTAATTCGGTTTTTAATTGTTTATTTTTTCATTGCATTTATTGTTGAATCTAGGAACGAATCTAGGTATAAACGTTCTCTTTCCGAACATGTTTCATCAATTGTAGTTTATTAAAATTTACAGCTGGATTGCAAATCGTTTTTGCTCTCTTATAAAGACAATTTATTATATCTTTCTCAACACTTGCATTATGGTTTGATGTGTAGTGGAGGTATCTATTAGAAGGTCAATGAAAAACTTTGATTTCCACCATGAAAAATTACTCTCTTCAATATTTAATGCCTTTTGTATTGTTTTGTTTTCAAAATATACTTGGAAAAAGTGAAAGTTTGATTCTATCATTGACTTTCATTTTGACATCTTTCTGACTCATTAGTGTTGGGTTAGGTTAGGTCTAAAGTGAGAGTGGGTCTATTCGACCCTCCACCGCAACCCGCAAGGGTTTATTGTGGCTCACACCTATTCACACTCGACCAAATAAACCCAGCTTCTTAACGAAGCCGATTAGTTTGTATGGTGAGTGGTTTTTCAGGTCAGATGGTAAGAGTACGGCTCTGCCGAACTCTAAAAACCTAATTCGGTCCCCAGCGGGGCAGGCACAAAGTATATGCTCTGCTGTTTCATCATTTTCCAAACAGGGGCGACACACACTGTCTTCCGACAGTCCGAGTCTCTGCATATGATAATTCAGACGACAGTGACGACGACTGTGAGGCCTGTTGACATCGTACTTGACATCGCCTTGGAGTGAGCCAATCCTGGAAGATTCTGCCAGAAGTCCATAAATCTTCTTGCCATCCAGGTGTTCAATCTTTGTTTGGCAACGCCTAAAGCGATGCCAATGACAGGTTCTGGTATGATGAAGCTGCTTGCAGCACCCTCCTCTGCAAGGGAGTCGGCAGCCTCATTGCCTTCCAGGCCAGTATGGCCTCACTATTGTACACAGTTTCTGGTGGGTTGGTTTTAAAAATTGCATAGTGCCAAAATACTGAATATCATATTAGGCAATGGCGTACATTTCATCTTGTTCGAGGACCAATGGATTTTTGCTTTATGAAAAACTATGAATTGAATTGCATTTTAATATCATCTCCACAAGTAACAACCTAGAAAAAAGTGTTTCAAATTGCCTATTTTTTTCTATAATGCAGATGGGATTTATAAACATCTTTCATTATTTTTGTATAGGTATCTAATATATGTATGATTCCAATATCTCTTAACAGTTCTATATAGGCCACCGATATCGAAAACACATCAAGAAGCACATAGAAAGTAATAAAATTTTTGATTTTTCATTAGTTTTCTTTTAAACTTATGCAGTGAATATTTGTTCAACATACAAAAGAGTGATTTCAGTTGAAGCTGAGTGAAATATATAAACACATTTTCCTTCAGAATTGGGAGAAATCCGTTATAGTATCAGCCACAAAATTCTTTTTTTGACTTCGAATGATATTAATATATTTATTTTGTTATATCATTTCTACTTGAATTCTTCAAAAAATTTATCAACTATTTCCTATGTAACAGTAAATATGTTATTGTTATGAACTTCACATTTTTATGGGCTTCACATCATTACCTATTGATAAAATATGTAAGTAAGTAGTGGCTATTTTGAATGAGTTTTATAGATATTTCAAATCTTTTGAATATATGGGATATCATTGATATTTAAATTGAAAGAGGTATATTTTTAGGAAAGATTAATTTTTGGAAAAGAAAGGTTTTGGCTTTCTATAGGATTGAGTACCTTATCTTGTAATGTTATCCAGATTGGTGATGAAGAGGCAATACAACAAGTGTCTTATTCAGAAACATCGATATCTGCCATTGAGGATGAGTGTTCCAGTAAGTGAAATATTACTTTTTTCATATACGATATTGTGTAGCAATCCTGTCAATGATATCTGAATCAATTCCATAACAAATGTTTGGAGTACAAATTGACTAGAAAAAGTGTTTTTTTGAATAATTCAATGTCCATATAAAATTAGTTGTTTCAAAAGTAATTTTACTTTCGTGTAATTCATTGTTTATATGGGTCTCCTTTTTTTTAAGAAATTCTATTTCCTGTAGTTGTTTCGAGAGGTCTTTTTCTTCCAGTTTGTGTCTGGAAGTTACTTCTTTGCATGATCTACACATTTTTGTGAAGAGTTTATTTTGGAGTTATTTGCTTTCTTTCTTTTTTTGAAAGATTCCCACATTTTTTTGTATAAAGATGTAGAAGTAGAAAGTCAAAACCTTTTTTTTCCATCATTGATATATGATATTTAAACGAAAATATGTAACTCTGGTACTACCGTTGAAAAATGTATAGTATTTTCAATCTAAAATCACCTGACGAAACACATATCCAGTGAATATGTGTTGTAGTTTTGTAAAGTAATATTCTCATGAAATGATTGGATCGTTTTCAATCAGTCAATCAAATTTATTCATCTGAAAACCAATACGACTTGTCAAAAATTTGTAGTATAGAGACAAAGAGCAAAATTACTGAATAAAAAGTTAAAATGATAAGTACAAGTACAGAGAGAGTACACTACAATATAAATATTAACGTAAAATATACAATTACCCAGAGTACGACAGAATACAATATCAGTGATTTATATACTAAAAAAATTCTTCCAAAGTATAGATTGCACCTTCAATTACTAACTTTTTTCAGTGACTTCTTGAATCAAATAGGTAGCTTCATTAGTGATATTTTGAGAAATTTTATTAAAAATTGGAATTCCGATGCTTAGAGGACCGTTTTGAGCTAGGTTCAATCTATTCAGAGGAGTATACAGCAAATGCTGATTTCTGGTGAAACGACCGTGAATGTCTTTACAACAGAGCAAAGTATTTCTACGTTTGTAAATGTAACAAGCAGTTTCCAATATGTAATGAGAAATAAGCAGTAATACTTGTGGCTTTCTAAAGAGATGTTTTCTAGATTATGTTTGAGGTTTGCGAAACATGGCACGAATGCACTTTTTCTGTCTAATGAAGAGACGTTTGGCAGCGGTGATTGTCCCCAGACTATGATTCCATATGCCAATCTCGACAGAATTTCTGCAAAATAGAAATTTTTCATTACTGGTGTTGTCTGGACCTTATACATACAACAAATTTGAAATATTTTGGTGTTGATATTTTTTATTGAAGTAAATATGTGAGTTTCCCAATTTAGGTTATCATTTTTATTGAGACCTAAGAACTTAACAATGGTATTACGATTCACGTGGGTGTTATTTAAGGTCCGGTTGATTTTTTTCAATTTTTGTTTGTCTTGTATGAAAGAAGATGAGAAATTCAATTATCGCTGAGTTTATATACAGCTTATTTTTTGAAAACCATTTTGCAAATTTATGCATCAAATCAATACCAGCTTGTTCATTTTCAAATCATAAGATTCTTTAGATACCAAGATTGATAGATTACCTGCATACAAGATAACTTTAAATTCTGATAGATAATTAATTAATGGCAGACAATGTCTGCCAGATACAGGGAAAACAGAATTGGAGCTACTACACTTCCTTGAGGAACACCTATTTTCACAGGTAGTGTACTGGAAAAGTGTGTAGTAATGACCTCTCTCGTTATGAGATAATGATATATATTGATTTCTACTGCAAGAAACGATCTGAATCAATAATGTGCTCTTTCTCTAATGTCGAATGTCCAGAGTTTTTTAAGCCACAGAATACTCCAATTGGACATTTTCTTTTGTCAAGCTCTTCCAGAATATTGTTTATAGACTCAGTGGTAGCAGTAGTAGCTGACCGTGCTTTTCTGAATATATGCTGTTCGGTTGATATTAGATTAAATTTCTCTATGAAAGTAAGTAATGAGCCTTTATAGCATGCAATATTCAAAAATTTTGGAAAACGATGGTGTTAAAGAGATTGGCCTATAATTATCCACTTTATTTCTACAGGTTTTTTGTGCACAGGTATAACTTTTGATGTTTAGAGTTGAGTAGGCACATCGCCTGTCTTGAAAGAATAGTTCACAATATGGGTGAACGGTGTTAATAGAAATGAGCTGAATTCTTTGATTACATTGCAAGGGAGGTCGTCAGGTCCCTCGGAGTGTTTGTTTTTGAGTTTCGCAACAATGTGGATCATATCATTTTCTGTGAATGGCAGTAGCACCATGGATTGTAAGGTTCTATTGGGCATATCGCGTATTTGCAGGGGATTTTTGGAATGTCATTAATGATTTTTTTGAGGCAGATATAAAGAAGTTGTTGAATATATTTGCAACTTTACCAGGGTCTGTAATTTGTTCATTCCCCTGCAGAATTTGTATATTAGATCGCATTGAATTTTCCTTATTTTTAAGTTTATTGATGATTTTTTCTTGCTTCCGTTAGAGGTTGAGTCTTGTTTGAATAATAATACATAACGTTTTTCTCTTGAGTAATTCTATATTAAAAAGGTAAGTCTGATCTCGAAGAAGTGAACAAACATTAACAGCTAGCATATAAACTAAAAAATGTATATTGCGAATAACTGTCGAGTGATATTACATTTATAAATTTGTTATCCACTGAATCATGTTGTCACATTCGCCCACATAATTACGATATACAAAAGTATTTCGCAATCTAGGCTGCATTCAACTTTTTTACGATAACCCCTTAATGCTGCTGGACGGCCCGCAATAATGATACTGTAAGCAAGATTGTCTGCCTTGAAGGTAACACTTCTTTCTTCAGAACCACTGAATCCATTGGTGAAAGTAAATGCTGAGATATTGTAACCATTTTTGCTACCCACTATTTTCCAATTGAATGAAGGTAACTTCAAATATGCCAGTTCAGAAGCTAAATCAACAAATGTAAATTCAACACAAGGGTCAGTTTCTTTTTCTGCCGATATCAGTTCTATTTTTTTTGGGTTGAATGAAGATTTCAACATATAGTAAAAACTGCTGGTCTGTGCCACTTGTTAATTTTGTATCCAAGTTTTGATGGATGCAGATGGGTTGAACAATAACTTCTGTCTTCTGATTCCAATGGGATTCATCTTTGACCGCCTTTATCAATACCAAATAGTTTCCGCAATTCATCTTTACAGATTCTTCAGCTCTAAAGTTGAGTTTCTTCGTCAGTATATGTGATATCAGAAGTTTGTATTCCTCTTTGAAATAAACTCGCAAATTATTGACACTATCTTAAAACAAATGCTTATTTGTTTAAATAACTATCATGTAATATTCAATTCGAAACAATATTAATTTTTGAATGATGTATTTCTGTTCACATGTATGATATCACTTTATACCCAACTGATGAAAACAAAAGGTAAAGTTTTGTTATAAGGGGGTAGAGATTGCCGCCTTTTTGAAAATATTTTAAATGGGTGCTCGTATCAAAATTACTTTGATTCCACTTTCTTCGTTCAGTGTTCTAAGAACACTTTGTTTACAGTATCTGTGCTGGAATAGAAATAAATAGATTATATTAATGTTTCTCATCAGTTCAACTTTAGTGCAATTTTCTCTAGAATGACGTCATAAAGATGGCGCCCAAACTTTCAACATTGCGCAGCCCCTCCTCATTACTAAATTGTCTCGGAGGTGAATGCGGGAAAACAAAATTCTAAATCGCATCACCTTTGAATGTCGAAACGGCGTCTTTTCAAAGTTCGACTGTGAATTGTTTGAAATTGCTGAAACCAGTTCAGTATTTAGAAGACTCGTAGGTCGTAGGATGGAATATTTATCAGAAATTTACAAATAGTTGTGTAAGTAGCATTTATAAAGTATCTAACAGTGTAAAAATTTCTACCCAGTACTAAGTAATGTAAATAATATGTGTGTTACCTGAATATTGAATTTCTGTTTGGAATGGTATCCAGAAGTATTTTTTTGCTTTGAGTGATTGCCATGATCTTTTTATGTATAATTTTACATAAAATAATTTTTCAGAAACAGAATCAGGTGTTTCAACATGTTTATTTCTCAATCTCAGTCAGCATTATTCATACTTTGAGATACCAAATAAGTGGAATATGCATTCGAGTGATTTGTCACATTTGAATTTGTGTGCAATAACACCTTTATTGATACACTACACTTGTATACATCAGAAACTTGATGTTTCAACATTTCCTGTATGCCATAATTCAAAAAAGTGAAAGAACAGTTGGTTGTCAATTTTGGCTTGTAACAGTTCAAAAGAGAGTCGATTTCGATTAAATATTTTGAAAACGTTTGTGTTAAAAGGAATTTGATAAAGAAACGAAGTTCCAAAACTATGAGTTAATTTGAAAGATTTGTAGCTACAAGTAATACGAAACAAGAAATTTAGTGAGATTTTGATCTTACCAAGAAAACTCACGACAAATTCATTTGTTTCACAGAGATAGACCTCAATCAGAAAACATTTGTATCAAGTAAAGTACCTGTTTGAGAATCGACTCCACCCCGCTATCAAAATAAGGATTTCATGGAGTATCGCACTATCCTATTGAGTAAAATAGAAAGGTTGCAGCAAATCTGAAAACAAAGCGACAGAGAAAATCAACAACTTCAAGTGAGTAAAGGCTAGATATGTGAATCATTCGAAATAATACTGATATACCCAATATTCATTGCCACTAACTGAATATTTGAAAGCATCAATAATATAAACAGATTATATTCTTTTTTGGGTCAAAATTTTACTTAAAAGTCAGTTATTAGTTTGAATTCTATTTCGATCCATGTTCAACAACAGCTCAATTGCAGAAATTTGAAATAATGTTGGAATTTACTACATTTTGATTGGTTTTGTATTTATGGTAGGAAATTCGTTTTGATTATCATTATAACATAGGGCTCAAACATTTAGCAGGTATAATGCTAATCAGTGATAACTCATTAGATCTGATTTTCCAAAAGTTTGAACATTTTTTCCACTCTTTGTGATTTACAATTGAACTAATTGAATATTAACATCTTCATATTATATTTGCCCTAAAAATAGATAAATAACTATTACCTACCTACGCGCATGTGTAATTTGTGAATGTTTTCTGCTGGCAAAATTGAAATGATTATGAAAAACAGTTCAGGGCTCTGATGAAGGGCTTTGTCAAACGTAAGCAACAGTGTCGAATCGGCAACAGCTGATATTTGGAGAAAGCATTGCAATATATAACCTTGACTATATATGTGCAGATAATACTTCAGCAGTTTCATTCCACAAAATGACATGTGTTTAAACAAATTCCAATACAAACTATACTCCACTACATTTACTGTACCAGTATAATTCATATCCTGATGACTCCGACTCGTTTGGTGAAAAGCGTGGCGAGAATACATTTTATGCTAGAAGTTTCAGTTCTACCTTTCAGCCTACAAGAAAAGTGTAATAATAAACTTGACAAGCTCATGGTTTTCATTCAGCTTATTGATAGAACACTTTTTTAGAAAACTTACACTGCCAATAAATAATGCAAAGCATTATTTAGTAAGGGCAATCAGAATCATGGGACTGGTCCTAACAAATCAAAAAGAAAATATTTTGAAAATGAAAAATGAGAAATATTGAGAACTATTCAAGAAGCTTGAACATTTCAATTTTACATGTGCTCCTCATTCTTGAATTTATTGTATAATTTTCAAATATAAACCATGCACAAGTTACAGATAAATTTTTTTAAATTATGAATGGACTGACCTGTTGTTTAATGAAAATTATCAACACTATCCATGATAATAGTTACACAATTTTCACAAACATTTTCATTTCACACCGTAGCTTCCTCGGTAGTAATATTCAGTGTGTAATATTCATTTCTAGCGAGGAAGCTACGGTGTTAGCGAAACGAGTCTAGAAATAAAAGTGTTTGTGAAAATTGTTCAATTATTATTATCATGGATAAGTTTTTTTCATATGTAGTCAAATCATGCTAATGTCAACTTACCCATGGAAACTTTGTTTTTGTCTTAATTGTCACTTTAAGAAATACAAAAACTATATTTGTCTTAATACACTGTATTACGTGTATCACTTTGAACGTGTTACAAATGAAACATATTTAACATTATCTGTTGAAAATCTGAAATTTTAATTTCAAATAATTTTCAGAATGTGTTTCGACATTACATGCTACTTCAGAAAAATTATTGGTATGAGGGCGATTAAATCAATGTTGGTTGTATTCATCTTCGAAGTCCATTCCATTAAAACTTTGTCTCCAGCAGATATTTTTGCTATTCGGGAGCTGTCCGACTCATCCATTTGTTTCAAGTCGACAGAAAACATTGCACTCTCATGATCTTATTACGTTTTCCCTTCCAACTTTCTTGTTCCCTGTACCAGTTTGTAAATTATTAAATTTGAGAATTCTGAATTTTCACTGCATGACCAAATATAAATGAATTTGTCTCCTCTTCTTAATCTGTATTCTAATGTGGAAATTGGTAATTCATTTATCTCATGGAAATTTAACGAATTGGTAATAATTTTCTTTCAGGTCATGTGACTCAAATTGTTATTATATAAAGTACAAATCATAATGAGTTCATTACATGTCCATTTGATGATTCAGTAAAATTTTTTTCAGTGGTTTTTCATTTTCAATAGTAATAGTAAAATTAATACTCATTATGTAGGTGGAAGGTCGTGCGATTCAATTTATTATTGGGCGAAGCAAAATTGAATAGAATTCAGTCAGTATGAAACCGCTTGAGAAAGCTATTGTATTGTGTTGCATTCGTTGTTGATTTTGGTCGATTGGGTATGTGAAAGCACTGTTCAAAGTGCTTTGGGTATGCGAAAGCACTTTGCACAGTGCTTTTGCATACCCAAATATTCATGCAGGATATGTCCAACACGTTAGCTTTGATTGCTTTAGATCCCCAGTTATCGCGATCAACTTCATTTAGCTGTTTTCGTCCGTAACAGCCGCTTTCGGGCGTCCACTGCGTGATTCGTCCTCGGTGCTCATTTCTCCTTGTTCAAACTTGGCAAACCACTTCTCTTATTTCAATTAGATTTTAGAATGTGTTTCGACATTACATGCTACTTCAGAAAAATTATTGGTATGAGGGCGATTGAATCAATGTTGGTTGTATTCGTCTTCGAAGTCCATTCCACTAAAACTTTGTTTCAAGCAGATATTTTAGTTGTTCGGGAGCTGTCCAACTCATTCATTTGTTTCAAGTCGACAGAAAACATTGCACTCTCATGATCTTATTACGTTTTCCCTTCCAACTTTCTTGTTCCCTGTACCAGTTTGTAAATTATTAAATTTGAGAATTCTGAATTTTCACTGCATGACCAAATATAAATGAATTTGTCTCCTCTTCTGAATTTGTTTTCTAATGTGGAAATTGGTAATTTGAGACAACTGTGAAATTTGTACACTAGTCTTTTGAAGGTTAGGGTTAACTGAAAATTTTGGATTGAATACTGGTAGCGCCATCTGTCTGTTAGCCTACGAACTTTTCAGCCCATCTGGGACATTACAGTATTATAGGTATATGAAATATTCTTATTATTTTCTAGAATGAGTATCTTCTATGCCTTTGAATTAAATCCAAAAATTATTTTCAGATTGCATCCTTGAAGTCATAATGCAAAACCTGACTGGAAAAGTACATCTAAATTATCAGCAAGCTACGAATTCTTACTATGCAGTTTGGAAAACTAGAAATCGAATTTGAAAACATCCGAATAGACTGCATTGAATTGAAAATTACACACGCACACACACAATTGTTTTATAATCACAACAATAACTCAATTATTGGCTAATCTATTCTTAAAATTGAAAACAAATCTCGCATTCACTGGGTTTTTCTAAGAAACAGAAGGAATCTCTAGATAATTCAAAAAATCCCAGTCTAGTCATTCAGCCATTGAAAGGGAACTATTTGAAGGAAAAAGCTTCTGTTCTGTATTCTTCAAGAAGTTTATAATGAATTCTGCTTAGAACATTCAAAAACAGTTGAAAAAAAGTATTTGGAAAATTGAAAATAACTTTAGTTGTGCGTGATCAAGATTTGGATGAAAAATGTTTATAATGCATATGTCTGAGAATGAAGTTTCTCATATATTGTAAAATGTAAATTCAATTAAAAATTGCATTTCATAAACAGAGTGAAATCTTAAAAAAATATAAATGTTCAATTAGTTGACCCAGTACAATATAGAAATTATTAAAAAATAAAAAAAAAAAAATTATTAAAGGGTTAGAAAAAAGCAGTTCTGAAAATGGCAAACTTACCAAAAATCTTGCTTAAAAAGAGAAGCAAAATGGAAGCTTTATGAAAATTTGAATAAGAACAAATAAATTCACCACATAAAATGATTTTGAAGTGGTACAGTATTTGAAAACAATATAAAGTAGTCAAGAATGAAATAACAAGAGTCGAGAAGGACATTTTAATCTATCTGAAACATTGATTGAGTCAAGCTATTCCTTGAAATCAACAGCTACATAGAAGGGCGATCTGAATAATAGACATAAATCAGCTCTGATAGATTTGAAAAAATCCACTGGCCAGCTGAAAATATAAAAAAATTGTCAAAAGAAAAAAAATTCTCAGAATGTGAGGGAATATCAAGCTACGATTTATTACACAAGCCCATTATAGAAAATGAAGGATTAATTCAGAAAAGATTGATGCACTGAATACACTTTTGTCTAACAAAGAAAAGTATGTTTGCCAGTTTGATCTGGTAAATTGAGAAGAGTTGAAGAAAAAAATCAAGGATCCTATCAGTCATTCACTTGATAGAATCTCCAATGACGTAACTAAAGAAATAAATCAACTCGATAGTAAAATAATACATATTTTACTTGAGTTATTAAGAAGAAAGTGAAAATTTCTCCAACTTGAGAATGTCTCCAAGAGGAAAGCAGACTTTTCGGAAGAATTTGATGATGTTTCTCAAGAGAAAGCAGACTTTTACAGATGGAATTCAAAGCATGAAAATGAAAATAATGAAAACTTTGAATACTTGAAAGATTTGTTCAATCAATTCGATCAGCTAACTAAAGACAATGCTCAATTATAAGACAGATCATAGTAATATCCATCTATTTGAAAGTAAAGAATAAACAATTCCATCTGCTTGAAATATCTTCCAAACAACTAAAGATGATTGCCGAAGAGAAAGCCAGTATTTTGGAAAAAATGTTAGAGGAAAATAAAGATATTTTCGAAATTGTTGACAGACTGTTTAAAGAAAAATATGGAATTTCACGGACAATAAATCAAATATCCAAAGAGAAAAGAAGAAGAAAAAATAGATAAGTTGATCAAAGACTTTAAATTGCTTCGCCATAAGGGTTGAAATTGACAGACTTTTTAAATTCTGTCAAAAAGAGTGGTTGCATAGAGTAGAATAGCATGGAATGATATTCTAGAAACTCAGGCAAAAATTGTGAATAAAACAGATAACAACATTGTGATGGCTCATAAAATTACTTTGGACATTAAACAAGAACTACTTACTGAAAGAATTTGAGGAATCAGAAAATGAAAAGATACAAAAACTGCCATGAAGAAAGTCCGACAAACATATTTTTTGTGGTTTTGGTTAATCCTTAGTTGGAACTTGTAACTTTGCATCTAAGGAAAAAATTTGATTGAAAAGGCATATGAAAAAATCCTAGAAGAGAACATTTTGGAAAAAATTAAATAATTTGACCCTACCGTATTGGTGGTGAGTATTTCAATAAACATAAGTCAATAAGAAACAAAACAATTAGTAATTTTTTTTAGGCTTCCATCAAAAAAATAAATGAGGATCTCACAAATGAATGTTTGAAGCTGAACAAATACTCCATCGATTACAAACTGATCTTGAAAGGTTAACAAATAATGGAAATGGACTAACTTTTTATGTATGCGTTTGTGTGTGTGTGTGTGTATATATGTATATGTAATGTATTCTTCCAAAGAATCTTTACGGTCTCTGAGAAGAAAAGAAAGTTTATTTCAAGATGAATTTTTCTTTATCTCTGGGCCTTCTGAACTTCTACCTCTATCATTAGTCGACTGTTCTCAGTCAATCTGTGAAAATTCAACGAGATGAGAGTTTTCATCTTCAATTTTTTTCCTCACAATTACATTTTTAGTTCTAACTTTGATTTTGCCAAAACCACTGAGACATTTTCCATGTCTGTTTTTGTATCTTCCTATTTTCTGACTCATTGATTCCTTTTAGTAGTTCTTCCTTCATGTCCAAAATACTTTGATGAGCCATCACAATGTTCTCTGTTTCAATCACATTTTTTTTGATTTTCTAGAATAACATTCCGTGCTTTTTTTGCTTTATGTAACAAATCTTTTTGACTCAATTTGAAAGATTCTGTTAATGTACAGTTTCCTTGGCAAGGCAGTTCATAGTCTTTGGCCAACTTATCTATTCATTTTTTCGTCTTTTCTCTTGTGATATTTGGTTTATTGTACATGAATTTCCATATTTTTCTTCAGACATTCTGTCAACAATCTCAGAAATATCTTTATTTTCTTGTGACACTTTTTCCAAAATATTGGCTTTCTCTTCGGCAATCTTTAGTCGTTTGGAAGATATTTCAAGCAGATGGAATGTTTTGTTCTTCACTTTCAAGTAGCTGGATATTATCATAATCTGTCTTATAATTGAACATTTTCTTCAGTTAACTGATCAAATTTACTAAAAAAATCTTTCAAGTATTCATAGGTTTTATAATTTTGTTCTTCATGCATTGAATTTTATCTGTTAACTCTGCTTTCTCTTGAAAAACCTCACCAAATTCTTCCGAAAAGTCTGCTTTCCTTTTGGAGACATTCTCAAGTTGAAGAAATTTTCACTTTCTTCTTCATAACTCGAGTAAAATATGTGTTATTTTACCATTGAGTCGATTTATTTCTTTAGTTACATCATTGGAGATTCTCCTATCAACTGGAAGACTGATGGAATCTTCGATTTTTCTTCAGCTCTTCTTTTTTTACTAGATCAAACTGGCAAAAATCTTTTTCTTTGTTGGTCGAAAGTATATACAATGTATGAATCTTTACTGATAATCCTTCATTTTCTATAATGGTCTTGTGTACAAATCGTAGCTTGACATCCCTCTCATTCTGAGAATTTCTTTTTTTTTTGACAAATTTTTTATATATTCCGAGAGTACTTTTAGCTGGCAAGTGGATTTTTTCAAATCTATCGAAGCTGATTTATGTCTACTATTCAGATCGCCTTTCTCTGTAGTTGTTAATTTCAAGGAATACCTTGACTCAATCAATGTTGCAGATAAATTGATATTGTCTTAATTGGTTCTTGAAAGTTTATCATTATGATTACTTTATATTTTTCACAAATATTGTTCCTTTCCAAAGTCATGTTTTGCAGTGGACTTTTTTCAGTGGTTAAGTTTTCGCATAGTTTTCTATTATCCTTCTCCAAATAATCCAGATTTTTGGTAAGTTTGCCATTTTTTGAAGTGCTATTTTCTAAGTCTTGAATGACCCGTGTGGGGATACCTGTTAGCCCCCATCGGGCGCGTCCCCGGGTGGCGGATAGGGGTGGCCCTAGCCGGTTTATTCGGTGGGTTGGAGAGAAGGAAAACCTCTCCCGCGGACCAACAGGCTTATATGGCCTTGTCCAATGTGTTGAATGATCAGTACCGAAGGATGAATGATACCTGGGCCTTATCACGTATCATTAACGTAGCATCTGTGATACCAGACGACCTCTCGGTGTATCCAGTCCTACATATGCAGGGAGAACCATGGCTGTAGACAAACCATTTCCCCATATTCGTGGGAACCTGATGGAGTATAAAAGTCTCCTGTGAGTTAGTACATGATCATCTTCAAGGTTCTAAATAGTCTTATCATCAGCACTGATGTTGAGAGTCGTACAAAGGAACCTAAAAGATAGATATTGCTTTTACGCAAGAACCGTGTGTGTTCACAGAAAGACAGTCGTAGAGTTGGGAGGAAGAGATGATTATCTTTCCCCGATAAATGAACCTCAAAGACTCCAAGAATATATTCACTTACCCATAAAGTAATAAACGTACTGCTTAACAAATGTGATTTCCATTTGTTTTCAACCTCACATAACATATGAGAAAATTAATCATTCTTAGACTCGTATGTCTGCGAATCGGAACAAAGAGTTCAGTTATCAGGAGTTTCAATCCTATTTCATATTCTATGTCTTGACCTGTATATTATTTTCTGGATTTGAAGTAATTTTATTAATGTCTTCTTTGAGTCCTTTGAAAATTATATTATTCTATCGGAGAATCGCTTTTCATTTCGTCAAATCTCCTCGATATTGCTTTCTTTCGATTGGGAGATTCATGTATCATAGATGAATTTAAATATTCAGTCAATAACTGTTGATTTTCAAAAATAGGCTAATCAATTTTTCATTGGTTATTCCAACTTGGTACCCAGTCCAATCTCCCTCAACTACCAATTTTTTTCTGCAATAATCTTGTTGATATCTTCTTTCAAGTATTTAGACAATTTTTCTCTTCAAATTGAAATATTCCAGTGTCAAACCAAGGTTTGACACTGATCACCCTGTCACCAAAATAGACCTACTCTTAGTGCAAAAATTACTGGTTTGAATGTTATTCCCATAAAATTGAATACTTTGCCAAAGGTTTTATCTTCTGGTTATTAGTACGGATATAGACAAACTCAACAATCTTACACTGATTTCATAAAACTGTACATAAATCTCTATTTGTGGTATTACATTCATGTAAACAAAATGTATGTGCCCAGAACCGATATCATAAAATCAGCCCTTCTGTCAGTTGGGCAAGCTAATGAAAGATATTGCAGATTTCAATAGAGTAATAATCCGAAGGAGTCCCTTAATACCACGAATAGAGATCTATCAACATTACACATCTGATACTTAATTAAAGAATAATAAAGTGATTATGTCTGTCAAAATGTAAGAGCTGCTTATAAAGAAGTTGTTGAATATATTTGCAACTTTACCAGGGTCTGTAATTTGTTCATTCCCCTGCAGAATTTGTATATTAGGTCGCATTGAATTTTCCTTATTTTCAAGTTTATTGATGATTGATTGATTTTAATGGATGCGCATATCAAAATTACTTTGATCTGCGCACATGTTCTAAGAACACTGAACTAAGAAAGTTGGAGGACCAACACTAACCACTATCCTTTCCAAGAAAGGAAAGCAAATTTGCATATTTCTATCTTGTTTCACAAAATAAAAGTAACGAGTTACTATAAAATAATTTCATAAATAGTATTAGAAATGAACTTTAAATATCGTCAAGTGAATACAAAATGATTTATTAATTCAGAAATTTCATTTCCGACCATTTCAAACATTTCGTTTATAGTTTCTGCAAAAATATCTCTAATGATCGACTAAAAATTAATAATTTTATCTTGAAAACTAATTTCAAGGAATCATATTCATAAATTGATCCAAGAGTGTTTATTTTTATTGAGTGTGCGCAGTTTAAAATCATTTAGATCTGCGCGTCAATGTAGTGTGAGAAAATTAAAGTTTTTTTTCATATTTCAGCAGATTATCAAGCAGGAAAATTATTTCAGTTCAAAGCATCATTTTATTTTTCAGAGTCTTGAGTCTGAAATTAGAAAGTAACCATTCATTAGGATGCCACCTATGACCACTATTCTTCATTCATAAAATGAAACATACCAGTAATTTTAAAATCATTTTTCAGAATAAATTTAGATTGTAATTGGTACATTTCGGTTCTTTAAAATATCCCAAAAACCAATGGGAATTTCCTAAGTTTCAAAACGTCTTCTTGATAGCCTCTGAAATGGGTAACTTTTTCCTAATTGAATTGACTCTGTATCTCTTACAGTTCCCGATGTTCCTATTCTGGGCCTCCTTATCTTGTGCATAGCAGAATTTATTTAAAAGGTATTTCTAACAAGTTGGATGAATATCTGAATTTTAATTGAACACAGTAATTTTTTTACAAACTTAGAATAAGACCTCCATAATTGATATCTATCTGATTTCAGGGGATTGAAAACCTAAATGCCAGAAATAATCTTGCCCATGAATCAAGCCTAATTTTTCGAAGGATGGATTCATGCACCAGTCTCAAGTTGTAAGCAGTTGGATCATTATTTACGACTTGAGACCAGTGCCTGAATCTACTCTAAGAAGTCAGGCATTATTTCAGATATTAACTCTCAAGTCAAAAATGTCAGGAGGTATAATGTTGATATAAACTAGCAGATAACCGAAAAGCTCTCAGCTAATCAACCATGATAATCAATATCAGAAAGATGAAGCCATGCTCCTTTTTAAGGCGTCATCAGTCACAAAAAAAATTATCAAAGAATCAAAATACCATCTCACCCTTAAGTACCTTTACACCAATTGTATAAATTTTACACAAACCTTCGTTAATCTGTCCATCAATACTTGTTTTATGCCATTTTTGTCCAAACCTCGCTTCTCAAGTTCGGCCTTCAAATCCACAACTCGTAGATCCGACAATTTTTTATTTTCACTATCAGACATATTTACTTCTATAGGGCAGCGAAATCTTCTCGATTGATCTAATAATAAAATCTTCTCTTATCCACGTATTCTAGTATTTCATACAAGCATGAGTGGCGTCATTTACACCGACATTTTATGCAAAATTGTAAGTATCACATCCCACATATCATGAAACAACAAAAAGGGAACGATATAACATAGAACATAGCTAGAATACAAACAAGGGTTGCCAACACTGATTCCACAAATTATCTACGAACGAAAAGTTATAATTAGAATGGGGAACACGCAAATATCTCAGTTTCGGAATATTTTGATTCCAACATGTGAAACTTGCTTGGAATAAACCATGTATTTTTTGAACTATCCACTCTGTCTATTGGTCATAGCTGTCATATGTCGATGATGTCATGTATTTGTTTAGGCGATTTCCTAAATTTAATAGATAATGTCTGATGTATTGGTTCAACTAATAGAAACGCGTCAACGTTTCGAATGGATTAATAGATGGATCCATCGGATCCATCGGTGTACTCATCGTTGAATTCAGGAACTCGTTTTATTCGATTCATTGTCAGGTTTTTATTGGTTTTTTGCGTATTTAGAGCGTTAGTATAAAACTTTCGTTGAGTAATAACACTGACTGGACAATCTGATTTGCGCAAAAAATTGAAAGAACACTTACATGTACAGTAGAAAAGTGAATTTTCAAAGGTTTTCTAGAATTATTCACTAAAGCAAAAATGAATCGAATAATGTGCTCATCCTGGTCATAGTTCTGAAACAAATTTCAAGGAGCAACTTCTATAAATTATTCAAACAAAAAGGTTTCAAAATAATGGATTGTTACTTGGTTCGTGAAGTCCTAGAGAAACTAATTCTTAGCTCAGATTGCTTCTCGAAAAATAGACACCTTTACTGATTTATGGTAGATAAGTGAAGGAAATAGAACATCGATTTTATCAAACCATTTTAATCAATTATAATAATTTTTATGTAATCTAAATATGTTTTTTTTCATATCTGAGAACTTCTTATATTTCAGAAAGCCCTATGTCTTACCGTGAACATATATTCAAATACATTACTGAAATGGATCTGCAACCTGCAATATTTCTATGCAATTAATAATCGAAGCAGTAAATCAATTGAATTGATGGATGTATCCGTTACTACGTGGTAGGACATCATGATGAAAAATGAGAAATAATACTTTCTATATTTTTTACCACCGAT